CTCCTCCATGAAGACTGGGGGGTCAGCTGATGAAACACAAACTACTCAGTAATCTCCTCCATGAAGAACTGGGGGGGTCAGCCTGATGAACCAAACTTACTCAGTTAATCTCCTCTGAGACTGGGGGTCAGCCTGAGACACCACACATACTCGTAATCTCCTCCATGAAGACTGGGGGGTTCGCCTGATGATGAACCAAATTACTCAGTAAATCTCTCCATGAGGACTGGGGGGTAAGCATGATTGAACTCAAAAACTACTCAGTAATCTCCTCCCATGAGATGGGGGTCAGATTGATGAACCAAACTACCCAGTAATCTCCGCCATGAAGATGGGGGTCAGCCCTGTAACCAAACTACCACAGTAATCTCCTCCATGGAGACTGGGATCAGCCTCTGATGAACCAAAACTAACTCAGTAATCTCCTCCATTGAAGACTGGGGGGGTCAGCCTGTCTGATGAACAAACTATCAGAATCTCCTCCAATAGACTGGGGGGGGTCAGCCGATTGAACCAAAACCTACTCCAGTAATCTCCTCCATGAAGACTCGGGGATCAAGCCTGATGAACCATGACCCAACTACTCAGGAATCTCCGCATGAAGGGAGGGGTAAGCCTGATGAACCAAAGAATGGGGGTCAGCCTGATTTGGAACCCAAAGCTATCAGTAATCTCCTCCCATGAAGACTGAGGGGTTCAGCTGTGAGCCAACCACTACTCAGAAATCTCTTCCATGAAGACTGGCGGGGGGTTCAGCGGATGAAACCAAAATACCTCAGTAATCTCCTCCATGAAGGACTTGGGGGTCAGCCTGTCCTGATGAACCAACACTCCAGAATATCCTCCATGGAGATGGGGGATCAGCCTGATGGAACCAAACTACGCAGTAATCTCCTCCATGAAGACTGGGGGGGGTTCAGGCCTGATGCACCCCCAAAACTACTCAGTCATTCCTCCATATAGGACTGGGGGGGTCAGCCTGATGAACCAAATACTCAGTAATATCCTCCATGAAGACTGGGGGGGTCAGCATGATGCAACCAACTACTCAGTAATCTCCTCATGAAGGAATGGGGGGGGTCAGCATGATGAACCAAAACTACTCAGTAATCTCCTCATGAAGACCTGGGATCAGCATGAGGAAACCAACTACTCATACATCTCCTCCATGGAGACTGGGGGTCAGCCTGATGTGAACCAAAAACTACTCAGTAATCCCTCCATGAGACTGGGGGGTCAGACTATCTGAATCCAAATACTAGTACTCTCCTCCAGAAGACTGGGGGGTCAAGCCTGCCTGACTGAAACAAAAATACATCAGTAATCTCCTACTGAAGACTGGGGGTCCAGCAGGATTGAACCAAAATACTCAGTAATCTCCTCCATGAAAGATACGGGGTCAGCTGAAGAACCAACAACTACTTCAGTAATCTCCTCCATGGAGAGGGGGTCAGGGCCTGAGATGAAACCAAACTACCAGTAAATCTCCCTCAATTGGAGGGAATGAGGAGTCAAGCCTGATGAACCAAATACTCAGTAATAAATCTCCTCCATGTAGACTGGGGTCAGCCTGATGAACCAAAGGAACCACTGGGGGGTCAGGCCTGATTGGAACCAAATACTCAGTAATCTCCTCCATGAAGACTGGGGGTAGCTGTGATGAACCAAACTACTAAGTAATCTCCTCCATGGAAGACTGGGGGTAAGACTGATGAAACCAAACTAATCAGTAATCTCCTCCATGAAGACTGGGGGATCAGCCTGATGAAACAAGACTACTCAGTAATTCCTCCATGGAGGATAGGGGGGGTCAGCCTGATGAACCAAACTACTCAGTAATCTCCTCCATGGAGATAGGGTCAAGCCTGCCTGATGAACCAAAACTACCAGTAATCTCCTCCATGAAGACTGGGACCTCAGCCTGTATGATGAACCAAACTACTCAGAATCTCCTCCTGAAACTGGGGGGTCAACCTGATGAACCAAAGACTGGGGGGTCAGCCGATGAACCAACTTACTCAGTAATCTCTCCATGAAAGACTGGGGGTCAGGCCTGAGACAACCAAATACTCAGTACATCTCATCCATGATGAAGATGGGGGGTCAGCCTGATGAACCAAAATACTCAGTTTAAGTTAATCTCCTCCATGAAGGACTGGGGGTCCGCCTGATGAACCAAACTACCCAGTAATCTCCTCCATATAGACTGGGGGTCAGCCTGATGCCCACAAACTACTCAGTAATCTCCTCCATGAAGACTGGGGGGCAGCCCTGATGAAACCAAAAACTACTCAGTCAGTAATCTCCTCCATGAAGACTAGGGGGTCAGCCTGATGAACCAAACTACTCAAATCTCCTCCATGAATACTAGGGGTTCAGCCTGATGAACCAAACTACTCAGAATCTCCTCCATGAGGACTGGGGATCAGCCTGATGAACCAAGACTGGGGGTCAGCCTGATGAATGAAAACCAAACTACTCAGTAATTCTCCTCCATGAAGCAGGGGGTCAGCCTGTGAAAACAAACTACTCAGTAATCTCCTCCATGAAGATGGGGGGTCAGCCTGATGAACCAAACACACTCAGTAATTCTCCCCATGAAGACTGGGGGTCAGCCGTGAGGGAACAAACACTCAGTAATCTCCTCCATGAAGACTGGGGGTCAGCCTGATGAACCAAAACTACTCATAATCTCCTCCTGAAGACTGGGGGTCAGCCTGATGAACCCAAACTACTCGTAATCTCCTCCCATGAGACTGGGGGTCAGCTGATGAACAAACTACTCAGTTAATCTCCTCAATGAAGACTGGGGGTCAGGGGCCTGATGAACCAAACTACAGTAGAATCTCCTCCATGAAGACTGGGGGTCGCCTGATGCAACCAAAACTATCAGAATCTCCTCCATGAAGGACTGGGGGTCAGCCTGATGACAACCAAAATATCAGTAACTCCCCCATGAAGACTAGGGGGTCAGCCTGATGAACCAAAACTACTCAGTAATCTCCCCATGAAGACTGGGGGGTCAGCGATGAACCAAACTATCAGTAATCTCCTCCATGAAGGACTAGGGGGTAGCCTGATGAACCAAACTACTCAGTAATCTCCTCCTGAAGACTGGGGGGATCGCCTGGATGAACCAAACTACTCAGTAATCTCCTCCATGGAGACTGGGGTGGTTCAGCCTGCCTGATGAACCCAAACTACTCGAATCTTCCTCCATGAAGACTGGGGGTCAGCCTGATGAACCCAAAGACTGGGGGGTCAAGCTGATGAACCAAAACTCTTCAGTAATCTCCCCAGGAAAGACTGGGGGGTCAGCCTGATGAACCAAACGACTCAGTAATCTCCTTCCAATAGACTGGGGGTCAGCCCCTGATGAACCAAACTACTCAGTAAATCTCCTCCATGAAGACTGGGGGGGGTCAGCATCCTGATGAACCCAAACTACTCAGTAATCTCCTCACATGAAGGACTGGGGGTCAGCCTGTGATGAACAAACTACTCAGTAATCTCCTCCATGAAGACTGGGGTCAGCCCCTGATGAACCCAACTACTCAGGAATCTCCTCCCCATATTAGACTGGGGGGTCAGCCTGATTGCCTGATGAACCAAACTTACTCAGTAATCTCCTCCATGGAGACTGGGGGGTTCAGCCTGATGAACCAAAGGCACTGGGGTCAGGTTGATTGAAACAAAACTACTCAGGTAATCTCCTCCATGAAGACTGGGGGGATCAGCTGATGAAACACAAACTACTCAGAATCTCCCCAGGAGACTGGGGGTCAGCTGATGAACCAAACTATCAGTAATCTCCTCCATGAAGGATGGGGGTCAGCCCTGATGAACCAAACTACCTCAGAATCTCCCTCCATGGAGACTGGGGGTGTCAGATGATGAACCAAACTACTCAGTATCTCCTCCATGGAGAACTGGGGGTCAGCCTGATGAACCAAACTACTCAGTAATCGCCTCCATATAGACTGGGGGGTCAGCCTGATGAACCAAACTACTCAGTAATCTCCTCCATGGAGACTGGGGGTCAGCCTGATGAACCAAACTACTCAGTAATCTCCTCCATATAGACTGGGGGTCAGCCTGATGAACCAAACTACTCAGTCATCTCCTCCATGAAGACTGGGGGGTCAGCCTGATGAACCAAACTACTCAGTAATCTCCTCCATGAAGACTGGGGGGTCAGCCTGATGAACCAAACTACTCAGTATCTCCTCCATGGAGACTGGGGGTCAGCCTGATGAACCAAACTACTCGTAATCTCCTCCATGAAGACTGGGGGGTCAGCCTGATGAACCAAACTACTCAGTCATCTCCTCCATGAAGACTGGGGGGTCAGCCTGATGAACCAAACTACTCAGTCATCTCCTCCATATAGACTAAGTCTCACACACTCACCCATCCTCACACCACATTTAAACAAAACATGTACTTTTTTTTATTTTTTATTTTTTAATGATTATTTGTCAATTAATATATAATTTGTTGGTTTTGTTATCTGTTTTAACAAACCTTTTTTCCTATTTTTGTGTTTTATATAGTTGTTTTGTGGTGTGGTTAGGGTTAGATCAGCCCCCCCAGGGCTTCCATCCACACCTGTACACACCGCTTTTTAAATGTATTTGTTTTTATCTGTATTGTTGTTTAAAAATCACTTGTTTTCTTTGGTGGACATAAATTTAAACATTAAACTAAATATAGGCTAGTTATAAAAAACAGGAAGTGTTTCGGTCCAGAGTAGTTTAGATCATAGGATGCACTGACTGACCCCCGCCAGGACTGATGACATCATCACCCAGGGACAATACCCCCACCTCCCCCCTCCCCTCACCTATCAATACCCCCCCCTACCCCCCCAGGACTGATGACATCATCACCCAGGCACAATACCCCACCTCCCCCCTCCCCTCACCTATCAATACCCCCCCCTACCCCCCCAGGACTGATGACATCATCACCCAGGGACAATACCCCCCCCCTCCTCACCTCTGCAGTCCTACGAGTTTCCATCGCTGTAGGTCAGTGAGGCTGAAGGGGCAGGAGAGCCAGGGCTGGATCCTCTCGCCACAGCGCCCGGGTCCAGGCACGTAGAGGGCTAGAGCGGACACCAGCCTCCTGACCCTGCCCTCCTCAGACCCCAGGACGACCAGGGTCCGACCACTCAGCAGGGACCACAGGGCATGCTGGGCAAACGGATACTGACGCACAAACCTGGAGGTGGAATGAAACACAACAGAAATAAATAAAGTCTTGCTGACGCACAAACCTGGGAGGGAGACCGAGAGATAGAGAAACTATTACTACTTCTGTCTAGAGTTTCATAGGGAATAGGCCGGGTGCCATTTCACAGCCCCAGAGTTTCATAGGGAATGGGCCGGGTGCCATTTCACAGCCCCAGAGTTTCATAGTGAATGGGCCGGGTGCCATTTCACAGCCCCAGAGTTTCATAGGGAATGGGCCGGGTGCCATTTCACAGCCCCAGAGTTTCATAGGGAATGGGGCCCGGGGTGCCATTTCACAGCCCCAGGAGTTCATAGGGAATGGGCGGGTGCCATGTTCACAGCCCCAGAGTTTCATAGGGAATGGGCCGGGTGCCATTTCACAGCCCCAGAGTTTCATAGGGAATGGGCCGGGTGCCATTTCACAGCCCCAGAGTTTCATAGGGAATGGGCCGGGTGCCATTTCACAGCCCCAGAGTTTCATAGGGAATGGGCCGGGTGCCATTTCCAGCCCCAGAGTTTCATAGGGATGGGCCGGTGCCATTTCACAGCCCCAGAGTTTCATAGGGAATGGGCCGGGTGCCATTTCACAGCCCCAGAGTTTTATAGTGAATGGGCCGGGTGCCATTTCACAGCCCCAGTGGAGGCATGTCTACCCGGCCTATAGTGAATACCTGCAGACATTTGGCCCTCCGTGGAATGAGTTTGACATGTGTTGTAGAGCATGAACCTGCACGAGCGAGTCACTGCTTTGACGTTTGCAGAAAAGGATGTTGTCCAGGGTCACGCCAAGGTCATTTGCACTCTGGGAGGGGGACACTGTGGAGTTGTCAACCGTGATGAAGGTCTTTGAGCGGGCAGGTCTTCCCCGGGGAGGAAGAGCAGCTCCGTCTTGTCGAGGTTGAGCTTGAGGTGGTGGTCCGACATCCAAGTTGAGATATCTGCCAGGCACGCAGAGATGCTGTCACCACCTGGATGTCAGAAGGGGGGAAGGAGAAAAGTAGTTGGATGTCATCCGCATAGCAATGATAGGAGAGACCATGTGAGGATATGACGGAGCCGAGTGACTTGGGGTATAGAGGGAAGAGGAGAGGGCCTAGAACCGAGCCCTGGGGGACACCAGTAGTGAGAGTACGGGACACAGATGCTCTCCACGTCACCTGGTAGGAGCGGCCTGCCAGGTAGGATGCTATCCAAGAGTGTGCAGAGCCTGAGACGCTCAGCCCTGAGAGGGTGGAGAGGAGGATCTGATGGTTCACAGTGTCAAAGGCAGCAGACAGGTCTAGAAGGACAAGAGCAGAGGAGAGAGAGTTAGCTTTGGCAGAGCGGAGAGCCTCCGTGACACAGAGAAGAGCAGTCTCGGTTGAGTGACACATATTGAAGCCTGACTGGTTTGGGTCAAGAAGATCGTTCTGAGAGAGATAACGAGAGAGTTGATCAGAGACAGAATGCTCAAGTGAAGAAGGGATACCGGTCTGTAGTTTTTGACGTCAAGATGAGTCGAGCGTTGGTCTCTTAAGGAGGGGAGCGACTCGCTCCATTTTGAAGTCAAAGGGGACGCAGCCAGTGGTCAGGGATGAGTGGATGGGGGAAGTGAGGAATGGGAGAAGTCGCCAGGATGGTTGGATGAGTTGATGGGGAAGTGAGGAATGGGAGAAGGTCTCCAGGGGGGGGGGAGGAGATGGTCTGGAGGAAGGGATGGGGGAAGTGAGGAATGGAGGAAGGTTCTCCAGAGATGGTCTGGATGAGTTGATGGGGGAAGTGAGGAATGGGAGAAGGTCTCCAGAGATGGTCTGGATGAGTTGATGGGGGAAGTGAGGAATGGGAGAAGGTCTCCAGAGATGGTCTGGAGGAGTTGATGGGGGAAGTGAGGAATGGGAGAAGGTCTCCAGAGATGGTCTGGAGGAGGTTGATGGGGGAAGTGAGGAATGGGAGAAGGTCTCCAGAGATGGTCTGGATGAGTTGATGGGGGAAGTGAGGAATGGTAGAAGGTCTCCAGAGATGGTCTGAAGGAGGTGATGGGGGAAGTGAGGAATGGTAGAAGGTCTCCAGAGATGGTCTGGATGAGTTGATGGGGGAAGTGAGGAATGGTAGAAGGTCTCCAGAGATGGTCTGAAGGAGGTGATGGGGGAAGTGAGGAATGGTAGAAGGTCTCCAGAGATGGTCAGGGATGAGTTGATGGGGGAAGTGAGGAATGGTAGAAGGTCTCCAGAGATGGTCTGAAGGAGGGTGATGGGGGAAGTGAGGAATGGGTAGAAGGTCTCCAGAGATGGGTCTGGAGGAGGTGATGGGGAAGTGAGGAATGGGAGAAGGTCTCCAGAGATGGTCTGAAGGAGGTGATGGGGGAAGTGAGGAATGGTAGAAGGTCTCCAGAGATGGTCTGGATGAGTTGATGGGGGAAGTGAGGAATGGTAGAAGGTCTCCAGAGATGGTCTGGAGGAGGGAGGAGGGTGGGGTCGAGTGGGCAGGTTGTCGGGCGGCAGGACCTCACTAGTGAGTGGGACCAGTGGACTCAATAGGCTGAGTGAATGAGGAGCGGATGTCATCAACCTTCTTTTCATCCGCAGAGAGGGAGGAGGGAGGGGGAGGGGCGGAGGATTAAGGAGGGAGGAGAAGGTGAAAAAGAGTTTCCTAAGGTTAGAGGCAGAAGCTTAAAATTTTGAGTGATAGAAAGTGACTTTAGCAGCAGATACAGAGGAAGAGGAGGTAGAGAGGAGGGAGGGAACGGATGGCTTTAGCAGCAGATACAGAGGAAGAGAAGTTGGAGAGGAGGGAGTGAAAGGATGGCTTTAGCAGCAGATACAGAGGAAGAGAAGGTAGAGAGGAGGGAGGGAAAGGATGGCTTTAGCAGCAGATACAGAGGAAGAGAAGGTAGAGAGGAGGGAGTGGAAGGATGGCTTTAGCAGCAGATACAGAGGAAGAGAAGGTAGAGGAGGAGGGAGTGGAAGGATGGATTTAGCAAGCAGATAAAGAGAAAGAGAAGTTAGAGGAGGAGGGGAGTGAAAGGGATGGTTTAGACAGCCAGATACAGAGCGGAAGGAAGGGAGAGACGGGGGAGTGAAAGGATGGCTTTAGCAGCAAGATACAGAGGAGAGACGGGTGGAAGAGAGGTAGATAGAGAGAGGAGGGAGGAGTAGTGAAAGGATTGGCTTTAAGCAGCAGAGATACAGAGGAAAAGAAAGGTAGAGAGGAGGGAGTGAAAGATCGGCTTTCTTTAGCAGCAGCATACAGAGGAGGAGAAGTTGGAGAGGAGGGAGTGAAAGATGGCTTTAAGCGCAGATACAGAGAAGAGAAGTTGGATTTAGGAGGGAGTAGTGAAAGGAATGACGGTCATCTGGAAGTTTAGTTTTCCTCCATTTTTGCTCAGCTGCCCGCAGCCTGTTCTGGAAGCTCACAATGAGTCACTCAGCCTTGTTCTGGAAGCTCACAATGAGTCACTCAGCCCTGTTCTGTAAGCTCACAATGAGTCACTCAGCTGCCCGCAGCCCTGTTCTGTAAGCTTGCAATGAGTCACTCAGCCACGGAGCAGGAGGGGAGGGCCGACCCGGCCCGGAGGAAAGGGGACAGAGTGAATCATGGGATGCGGAAAGGGAGGTGAGTAGGGTCGAAGAGGCAGAGTCAGGAGACGGGAGGGAGAAGGATTTAGTCGAAGGGAGAGATGATAGGATGGAAGAGGTCAGAGTAGTGGGCGAGAGAGAGAGCAAAGATGAGGTCAAAAGAGGCAAGGAGAGGTAAGAGAGTTGGAAAGAAATGAATCGAAAGCAGACGTCGGGAGGTTGAAGTCGCCCAGTACGAAGAGCGGTGAGCCATCGTCAGGAAATGATCTTATCAAGGTGTCAAGCACATTGATGAACTTTCCAAAGGCACCTGGCGGGCAATAGATCACAACAATGTTACGCTTGAGTGGACAAGTGACAGCGACGGCATGGAATCCAAATGAGGAGATGGACAGGTGAGAGAGAAAATAGAACATCTCCACTTCTGAGAAATGAGTAGCCCTGTGCCATCACCGCGACGACCAGATGCTCTCGGACTATGAGAGAAAACATAGTCCGATGAAGAGAGAGCAGCCGGAGTAGCAGTGTTCTCTGGGGGTGATCCGTGTCTCCGTCAGGGTCAAAAGGTCAAGGGACTGAATGGCTGCACAGGCTGAGATGAACTCTGCGTTCTTGACCGCAGATCGGCAGTTCCCAACGCTGCCGGAGACCAGGAATTCCACATGGGGTGGCGTGCTCAGGGTCTACTACATTAGAAGGGCTGCAGCCAAGGGGTTGGGGGAGCGTCTGGACGCCTACAGGGACAGGAGCCAACAGGGAGAGAAAACAGCCAAGGGGGCGGGGGAGCGTCTGGACGCCTACAGGGAGAGGAGCCAACAGGGAGAGAAAACAGCCAAGGGGGCGGGGGAGCGTCTGGACGCCTACAGGGAGAGAAAACAGCCAAGGGGGCGGGGGAGCGTCTGGACGCCTACAGGGAGAGAAAACAGCCAAGGGGGCGGGGGAGCGTCTGGACGCCTACAGGGAGAGGAGCCAACAGGTAGAGAAAACACACACACGTAGTTGACAACGCTACAAAAAGAGCCAAATGAGATCATCTGTAAATAAGTGGTGAGGAGCCACCCTCTCTTTCTTTCCTCCAACAACTCCGCAGAAGAACTGTTTCGGTGACGGTCTTAAAGTTTTTCCCGACGAGACCTCCCGGTACTAATAGCTGATTACCTAGGAAGAGGAGAAGCCACTGCCCCCTCCAATACAGCCACTGATTACAAAAACAACAAGTCACAAATTGCCCTTCCCTTTAATCCCGGTTGACGTGTCAACAATCATCTGCAAGTTATGAGCAGTCAGCAGTTCACACACCAAGTGGGCTACTGGGCAGACAGACAGCACTTAGATGGCCCTTATCTAGCAACAAGACAGGACTAGACGACAACAGATAAAGACAGAAAAAGATATGTATTACTCCTGGAGATATCAGGAGACCTCTAGCTATAGAATTGATTAATGAAATCAATGAGTGACTCACTTGAGCGCTCCCTGCCCGGCCTTCTTCCTCTGCGTCGCCACTCCCCCGTACCCCAGACGTGAGCCGGCCCGTTCGGACCCCGTAGAGGCTGACATGGTACAGTCCGACCCGTCCTGGTCCGACGCCCTGGAGGTGGTATCTCCCAGGGAGGAGACGGGCAGGTCCAGCCCAGCCCCAGGGCTCTGGCAGTGGGGGGAACCCAGGCCGTAGGCCCCCTGCACCGGCAGCAGGGCCTGGGGCTCCTGGTTGACCACCAGGGGAAAGGGTAGAGAGCCGGGCTGCTGCAGCCCAGAAGCAGGCAGCGTGTCTTGGGGAGAGGAGTCGTACAGGAAGCCCTCCTGAGACATGCAGCAGGCCGTGTCCATCTGGACCAGCAACTCAGGGTCAGGAAGTCTCTGTCTATCACACTCCTCTGTCTCTCCCTCTCCGTTAAACACTCCTTCTGTCTCTCCCTCTCCCTCTCCGTTAAACACGCCTTCTGTCTCTCTCTCTCCGTTAAACACGCCTTCTGTCTCACCCTCTCTCTCTCCGTTAAACACGCCTTCTGTCTCACCCTTACCCCCCTCCTCAGCCTCCAGCAGAAAAACAGGGGTCTGGTTTCCCTCCTCCTCCTCCTCCTGTCCTCCCTCCCGTCCCTCCTCCTCCTCCTCTCCTCCACTCCTGTCACTACTAAAGCTGTCTTTATTCTCCTCAGAGCTTTCCTGTGTCTCCATGGTCAGATCAGAGAGTGACGACTCCAGCCTCTCCTCCCCAGCCAGGGTTTCACTCTGCTGGGCAGACTTAGCAGGGAAGGTGGGGTACACCTCCAGGACCTCCACAGGCTCCAGGGGCTCCGGGCGCAGCACGATGGAAGGGGTGTGTGTGTGTGTGTGTGAGTGTGTGTGCGGGTCCGTCCCCATTGTGTGGTCGAGAGAACAGAAGATCCTTCCCAGCGCCGCTACCTCCTCCTCCTCCTCCCCTAGCTCCTCCTCAAACAGGAAGTTGGTGATGTCCTGCTTCCTGCGGAGCGATCGGTCCAGGCGGCGGGTGTACAGGTAACACAGGTCCCCCCGGAAACACCTCTCCGTGTCGGCGAGTAGTTCCACGGTGACCTCGTAGGAGCTCTCCTCACACAGCTCCGTCAGGGTCTTCAGACGCTTGTCGAAACATTTGGCCGACTTCCCCTTTATCAGCTGAGGGGTGTAGGACTGTCTCCTCGTCCCCCCCTCTCCTCCCCCCGCCTCCTCCTCCCCCCTCTCACGGTCAGGGCCGGGGTGTGTGTCGGTGTGTCTCTGTGACTCTGTGACGCAGTGTTGACAGTGTGCGGCGTGGGGGTCTCGGCGGGGGCGGAGGGGGTACGAGGTGATCTGCCTCAGCAGGTCCCGGTGCTCGTAGATACTCTTCTCCACCGCCGCAAGCTCATTGGCCTTCTCCACCGCGTGGGCGGAGTAACACCCCTGAGGCCCCGCCTCCCGCTGTAACCCCTCCTCTTTCTGCAGAATGGACCGCGTGTACCTGGCAGGAGAGGCCACAACAGGGGAGGAGTTACAACAGATAGTAGCAAGTAGTAGAGGGAAGGAGGGGGCTGAGGGGGGGGGTGTCTGTTTCTGGTGGGGGGGTTGAGAGTGTTCGGTCGGTCCGCGGGATGGGGGAAGAGGGGGGGGGGGTGGGCTAGGGGGGAGGGAAGAGTACTGCCCAAGCGGGGGGTGGGGGGGGGTAGAGGGGGGGGCAGGGGGGGGGGGGTGGGGCGGGCGAGGGGCCCTCAGGGGCTGGGTTGGAACGAGGGCGGGCTCTTCTTTAAGGGGGACGGGGCGGGGAAGAAGGGCGGTCGGGGGGGGGGGGATGGAAGCAGTGGGGGGGAGGGGATCGTGGGCGGGTGGGGGCGGGACGCGCGGGGGGGGGGCCGAAGATGTGTGGAGTTGGTTAGGGGGCGGGCTTGGAAGAGGGGGCGCGGGTGGCCCGCCGGGGGGGAAAGAGGGGCGGGGGGGGGGGGGCGGAAGAGGGTACCCTTTGGGGGTACGGGGGGGGCGGCGGGGGGGGGGGTCGCCTTCGGGGGGGGGGGAAGAGGTGGGGGGAGGGCGGCGGGGGATTTGGGGGGGGGAGTGCGGGGGGCGGACCTGGGGGGCGAAAATGAGGGCTGCGGGGAGGGCGTGGGGGGGGGGGGGGGAGAAGAGAGGGGGAGGGGCGGGGGGAGAGGAGGTGTGGGGCGAGAGGGGGGGGGGGGGGGCGGAAGAGGGTGGGGGATGGTGCGGGCGAAGAGGGGGGCGGGGACGGGGGGGCGGGGGGGGGGAGAGGGGGGGGAGGGGGGGGGAAGAGGGGGGGTTCGGGGGGGGGGGGAAGAGAGGGGCGGGGGGGCGGGGGAAGAGGGGGGGAGGGGAGGGGGGGGGGACGGGGGGGGGGGGAAGAGGGGGTGGAGCGGGGGGGGGAGGGGTGGGGAGGGGGGAGGGGGGGGGGGAAGAGGGGGGGGGGGGGGGGGGGTTGGGGCGGAAGAGGGGTGTGGGGAGGGGGGGGGGTACGGTGGGTGTGTAAAGAGTGGGGGGAGGGCTGTGGGGGGTGGGGATGGTGGGTGTGCGTCTGTGGTTCAGAGTGTGTGTGTGTGTGTGTGTGTGTGTCAGAGTTTGTGGGGTGGTGTGTGTGGGTGTGTCAGAGGTGTGTGTGTGTGGTGTGTGTGTAAAGTGGTGTGTTGTGTTGTTTGTGTGGTGTGTCTGTGTGTGTGTGTGTTGTGTCAGAGGGTGTGCGCCGTCTTACCCAGGGTATCGTGCTTCCTCTGCAGCTCGAGGGAGAAGGCCCGGCGGGTTTCCCGTATCAGGCTCTCGGAGGCGCGGGAGAAGCGGAGCGACATCTCCTGGAACTGGCCCATGATCTTCCTCTCGTCGGCAGAGACGTAGGCCATGCAGAACGGGCGGACGAAGCCGCGAGCCTCCAGGTCATAGAGCGTCAGGTGGTGGACGTAGGCGAACGCCCCCTCCTTAGAGTCACCCAGAACCACACGAGAGTCCTCCACGAAACTACAGGGGGAGGAGAGAACAGGAGACAATTACAGTAGAATAGAGTAGAATTAGTAGAGTAGAATATAACAGAAAATAATTAGAGTAGAGAATAGTAAAAGAGGATATCATTAGAGTAGAATAAAAATAAAACAGGATAGAATTGGAGTAGAATCCAATAGAACAGGATAGAATTGGAGTAGAATCCAATAGAACAGGATAGAATTGGAGTAGAATCCAATAGAACAGGATTAGAATTGGAGTAGAATCCAATAGAACAGGATTAGAATTGTGGAGTAGAATCCCAATTAGAACCGGATAGAATATGGAGATAGAATCCAATAGAACAGGATAGAATTGGAGTAGAAATCCAATAGAAAACAGGATAGAAGTGGAGTAGAATCCATAGAACAGGATAGACTTGGAGTAGAATCCAATAGAACAGGATAGAATTGGAGTAGAATCCAATAAACAGGATAGAATTGGGAGTAGAATCCAATGAACAGGAAATAGATTGGAGTAGAATCCAATAGAACAGGATAGAATTGGAGTAGAATCCAATAGAACAGGATAGAATTGGAGTAGAATCCAATAGAACAGGATAGAATTGGAGTAGAATCCAATAGAACAGGATAGAATTGGAGTAGAATCCAATAGAACAGGATAGAATTGGAGTAGAATCCAATAGAACAGGATAGAATTGGAGTAGAATCCAATAGAACAGGATAGAATTGGAGTAGAATCCAATAGAACAGGATAGAATTGGAGTAGAATCCAATAGAACAGCTACCTGAGTCGTGGGTATCCGCTGCCGGGGGGGTGTCCTACGAACGAGGCCTGGTAGTCAACAGACATAATCCTCAGACTGAAGTAGTTGAGGTCAAAGGTCCCAAACACCTTAGGGTCATCGGGAATGGTGAGTAGAGGCTGGGGGCCCACCTGGAGGGGAGGACAACACAAGGTCAGCTCATCACACACACCACACACACACACACACACACCACACACACACCGTCAGGACATACACACCTTCAGATCAACACACACACACACACACACACACACCACCTCTCCCCAGTTGCCCGGGCTACGGACCTGCTCAGAGAACTCTGATATGAGGATGAAATCCTTAGTGAACTTGGCATATGATGTCTTGGCCCAGGGGTTGGCGTTGTTGTTCGATGGGAACAGAGGGACGGAGAACTCTTCTGGCACCACCCAGGGGTCGGGGTACCCGACCTCCCCAAAATCATCCTCCTTAGTAAACGCCACCACGTCTGGGGCACCAATCATCTTCTCTGGACCGGGCCGGGGTCAGCTATGACATCAGAGAAAGTCCATCCACTAGGCTAGCGGTCTGTCTGTCTGTCTGACGATCTGTATCCCTCTACCGGCTGGGAGTAACGGTCTGTCTGTCTGACGATCTGTATCCCTCTACGGGCTGGGAGTAACGGTCTGTCTGTCTGTCTGACTATCTGTATCCCTCTACCGGCTGGGAGTAACGGTCTGTCTGTCTGTCTGACTATCTGTATCCCTCTACCGGCTGGGAGTAACGGTCTGTCTGTCTGTCTGACTATCTGTATCCCTCTACGGGCTGGGAGTAACGGTCTGTCTGTCTGACGATCTGTATCCCTCTACGGGCTGGGAGTAACGGTCTGTCTGTCTGACGATCTGTATCCCTCTACGGGCTGGGAGTAACGGTCTGTCTGTCTGACGATCTGTATCCCTCTACGGGCTGGGAGTAACGGTCTGTCTGTCTGACGATCTGTATCCCTCTACCGGGCTGGGAGTAACGGTCTGTCTGTCTGACGATCTGTATCCCTCTACGGGCTGGGAGTAACGGTCTGTCTGTCTGACGATCTGTATCCCTCTACCGGGCTGGGAGTAACGGTCTGTCTGTCTGACGATCTGTATCCCTCTACGGGCTGGGAGTAACGGTCTGTCTGTCTGACGATCTGTATCCCTCTACGGGCTGGGAGTAACGGTCTGTCTGTCTGACGATCTGTATCCCTCTACGGGCTGGGAGTAACGGTCTGTCTGTCTGACGATCTGTATCCCTCTACCGGCTGGGAGTAACGGTCTGTCTGTCGGTCTGTCTGTCTGTCTGACGATCTGTATCCCTCTACGGGCTGGGAGTAACGGTCTGTCTGTCTGACGATCTGTATCCCTCTACGGGCTGGGAGTAACGGTCTGTCTGTCTGACGATCTGTATCCCTCTACGGGCTGGGAGTAACGGTCTGTCTGTCTGACGATCTGTATCCCTCTACCGGCTGGGAGTAACGGTCTGTCTGTCTGACGATCTGTATCCCTCTACGGGCTGGGAGTAACGGTCTGTCTGTCTGACGATCTGTATCCCTCTACGGGCTGGGAGTAACGGTCTGTCTGTCTGACGATCTGTATCCCTCTACGGGCTGGGAGTAACGGTCCACGACACTGACAGTTGTCCTGTCTGTCTGTCTCTTTGCCTGTCGGTCTGTCTGTCTGTCTGTCTGCTACCTGTTACCTCTACCAACTGGGAGTAGTCTTTGATGATATCACACGATGCAGGAAGACTCAACATGACATCTGACCAAAGGCTGCCTGTCTGTCTGTCTGTCTGTATATAAACAATAGCACTTTAACGCCGGGACTGGCTATCTATCTGTCTCCGTCCCCCCCGTACACTATCGACGTCAGACAGTTAGCTAGCAAACAGACGATGCGAAACGGAATGCGACCGTATCCCGATCACCATCAATGACGCATTGCTCGTCCAGGAACCGTGCACCGTTACCGGGTAATATAGGCAAGTGGAACGTCATGCACTGGTAAAATAAAGTCCCATTGGTAAATAATATTTCATGTAAAATCTACATCCTGACCGTCGCCATATTTACTCCGTGACCAGCTCACGTAAAGAAGTAGCTAGCTTTCCTAAAATTACAAACTAATGTTACACATTCAACATGACTTCAGATTAAGAAGCACATTTTTTAATCTTGAAAATAGTTACGCAGTATTTTGACGTAAAATTAAAGGACCTCGCATAGAAATTAATATTTACACGAACAGTAAGAGTTTACGACACTCATTTTACGACAGTTGTTGACAGGCGCGGAATTTGTAAAATCCGCAACATCAAATTTAGCTGCCTTTTTTTACCAACCCTTTCAGTTAACAAAATAGTTTTAAAACAATGTATTTATTGCCATATTGGGTCCAAGCGATTGCACGTTACATTGTCTGGTGAACAGGGAAAGTGTAAGCTTCAGCAAGTAGTTTCAGGGTTGGAAGTTTGACACGACTTTAGCTAGCTAGCTACTCCCACCAAGCTAACAGACATGTGAGATCTGGAAAAGTTGTGTCACTGTGTATCAGTTGGATCAGTCAAACAACAGTTTGTAATAACGGTTCTGAAGTTAGATTGACTAAAGTTAGCTAAGGTGTTAGCTGGGCATGACATGTGTAACGTTACGACAAGTCTAGCTCCAATGCGCCGTGGCTAGGCTGGCTAGCTAGCTATGCTGGTACACCGTCTGACTAGGGCTCTGTTCTCATCCGGACGAGCGTTAACGTTACGGCTCCAGGTCCACAGGGGGTTTAGCGTTACCGGGAAGAAGAAGCGGACAGACTCCCCGGGAGACATGATCCGGCGGACTCAGATCAAACGGGTTCTGTGTGTGGCGGAGAAGAATGACGCGGCCAAGGGCATCGCAGAGATCATGTCCAACGGCAGAGCCAGGAGGGTGGGTCTTAGATGTGTGAGAGAGAGATGGTTTTGTCAGTACATGGGACGATTGTCGGTTTATCTCAGCACCCAGCTCTCTTCCCATGACACAATGTCTCACACATCAACAGGTGTGATTGTCTCTGTTTATCTCGGCTCTCTTCCCATGACACAATGTCTCACACATCAACAGGTGTGATTGTCTCTGTTGATCTCAGCTCTCTTCCCATGACACAATGTCTCACACATCAACAGGGTGATTGTCTCTGTTTATCTCAGCTCTCTTCCCATGACACAATGTCTCACACATCAACAGGGTGATTGTCTCTGTTTATCTCGGCTCTCTTCCCATGACACAATGTCTCACACATCAACAGGTGTGATTGTCTCTGTTTATCTCGGCTCTCTTCCCATGACACAATGTCTCACACATCAACAGGGTGATTGTCTCTGTTTATCTCGGCTCTCTTCCCATGACATAATGTCTCTCACATCAACAGGTGTGATTGTCTCTGTTTATCTCGGCTCTCTTCCCATGACACAATGTCTCACACATCAACAGGGTGATTGTCTCTGTTTATCTCAGCTCTCTTCCCATGACACAATGTCTCACACATCAACAGGGTGATTGTCTCTGTTTATCTCGGCTCTCTTCCCATGACATAATGTCTCTCACATCAACAGGTGTGACTGGAAGTCTGGACACAGATCATTAGACTGGTTGGATTACTTCCTCGACATATCTGGGTTTAGCTACAGATTGTAACTCCAGATAATGTGATTTAACCAAAACATTTGGTATCCGTTATACTGGGAGTTACAGGTTAGTTACTGTTTGGTGTAGCTCAGAGAATTTTTGACCAACCTTAGCGATACTGTCTTCGTCCTCAATTCGTGGAAACAGGAGTCTCATAAAATGTCCTTGTCCAGTTGCATGGGGTCTGTTTAGAATTTAGTAAATGCTCCGTTATTAAAATAATTACTTTTTGTTCTCCATGAAGTAATCCAACAATGTGTACACCGCCATCTTGTCTCTTTCAAGTCTTCTCTCATTTACATTTAAGTCATTTAGCAGACGCTCTTATCCAGAGCGACTTACAGTTAGTGAGTGCATACATTTTTTTTCATACTGGCCCCCCCGCGGGAATCGAACCCCCACAACCCTGGCGTTGCAAACGCCATGCTCTACCAACTGAGCTACACGGGACTCATTAATCGAGACAGGTGTCTGTCATCATGACGTGATGCACTTTGGGGGTGGGACCCACCTGTCTCAATCAATGAGCGAACACTTGGAATAGACAAGTTGGATTACAACAAAAAATATTTATTTTAATAACGAAGAATTAAAATAAAAATTTACTAAATTCAAACGGACCCCGTGCAACTGGACAAGGACATTTTATGAGACTCAGGTTTCCCACTAATTATCTGGTTTTCTAATCGGTAGCTACTCTGGGTTGTTATTCACTGTGTTTCCTGTCTGTGTTTCAGAGTGAGGGGCTGTCCGTCTATAACAGACTGTTGTCTGTGTTTCAGAGTGAGGGGCTGTCCGTCTATAACAGACTGTTGTCTGTGTTTCAGAGTGAGGGGCTGTCCGTCTATAACAAACTGTTGTCTGTGTTTCAGAGTGAGGGGCTGTCCGTCTATAACAGACTGTTGTCTGTGTTTCAGAGTGAGGGGCTGTCCGTCTATAACAAACTGTTGTCTGTGTTTCAGAGTGAGGGGCTGTCCGTCTATAACAAACTCTATGAGTTTGAATACAACCTGTTTGGACAGGTAAGCTCTATGAGTATGAATACAACCTGTTTGGACAGGTAAGCTCTATGAGTATGAATACAACCTGTTTGGACAGGTAAGCTCTATGAGTATGAATACAACCTGTTTGGACAGGTAAGCTCTATGAGTATGAATACAAACTGTTTGGACAGGTAAGCTCTATGAGTATGAATACAACCTGTATGGACAGGTAAGCACATAACACTACCTCTGTTCTATGTCAGGTGTGTTTGGGATTTGGTGGGTGCTCATAGTGTGTGTGTGTGTGTGCGCGTGTGTGTGTGTGTGTGTGTGTGTGTGTGTGTGCGTGTGCGTCCCTACAGAATGTGACGGTGTGTATGACGTCAGTGTCCGGTCATCTGCTGGCTCTAGAGTTCAAAGCACAGTTCCAGAAATGGTGAGACTGACCACTTCTGCCATCACACACACAGAGTTACAGACAACACCTTGGATAGTGCTCTCTGTCTGTGTGTCTGTCTGAGTATGTGTGTAACAGTGTGTGTGTGTGTGTAACTGTGTGTGTGTGTGTCCCCAGGCACAGCTGTAATCCTGTCCTGCTGTTTGATGCTGAGGTGGAGAAGTATTGTCCTGAGAACTTTGTTCAGATCAAGGTAGTCCAGGACATTTACATTTGACTCTTAACCACTAAAGCTACCTACTGTTACTGTCTTCTGTCTTGAAATGTTACTGTGGTTCTCTGACACTTCGTTTGATTGGACTCATTGGCATGTTGTTCAATGCATGTTGTTCAGAAAGACATAGAAAGAGTTTCAGAAAGACATAGAGTTTCAGAAAGACATAGTTTCAGAAAGACATAGAAAGAGTTTCTGAAAGACATAGAAAGAGTTTCA